CAATTGGCGGCTGAGGGTCCACGCTGGCATTTTCGACTCAGAAGGGCCCCACAGGGTTCGAAAGAACACCTTATGTGCTCCGAATAGCCACACTTATCTCCATAAAAGCCACACACCGGCTTTTTATTGTTCCTTGTAGGCATTTGAGGGCCCCTTGCCGGCCTCTCAGGGCCCATTGGCGACCTCTGAGGGCTACTTGCCGGCCTCTGAGGGGCAGGGCCCTTACCGGCCTATCAGGGACCAGCAGTTCTAAGGGTTCCACACACGCCTGTGATGGCCCCTTAACCCAATGGTTGAAGGCCCCCACAACGGCGCCTGCGAGGGCCCTCACCGGCGGCTGTGAAAGCCCCAAACCGGTGCCCAGCTGAGGGCCCCACACTGCCACCTCTCAGTTCAACCGGCACCCCCAAACCAGTGCTTCTTAAAGGTAGTGTGCCAGCTTTCCTGGACCGTATGGAGTTAATGGCCCAGATAAGGAGAACCGGATTTTTAGAACTTATCCATACCTTCAAAACTCATGGAAACGTCTTAAATTCTTCAAATTTTGAGTACCCCAGTGCGAAATTCGCCCCGACGGGTTGTCGGTCGTACCCCAACCACATTTCACACCACTATGAACAATAAATGCACACACTGAAATCGCTATTACCGATATGCTCATCCAATCAAGTTTCGATAAACCCGTTCATCATCATCTCCTGCGGTTTCGAACACGCCTGTTAGGTGGTGCGGTAGACCGCGCCCAAAGCCAGCGCCCCGGTAACGTGAGGTAGCCGAGTCGGGGCAGCGTGCGCTGACCCAAGCCGGGGCCGCGCGTCCTCCCGGTGTCATGTGATAGCCCGGGGCTGCCCGCGGGGATGCGGTAGACCGCGCCCAAAGCTGCGGCCCCGGCTTGGGTCAGCGCACACTGCCCCGACTCGGCTACCTCACGTTACCGGGGCCCTGGCTTTGGGCGCGGCTTCTGCTCATACTTTGTGGTGCGGTGGTGGTGCGTCGGGCCGCGCGCTCTGACTTCGGCCAAGAAAAATGCGTCAGCTGATCATTGTCATTTCTGCCACTTGCGTGTGGTGAAATGGGGTCATAACTTAAGAGACGGCTTTTTCATATCAATTATTTTACATAAAATCATATTTCAAACCATAAATAATGTTCGACAGCCAAATAAAAGAAACAATACCAATACAGGCTTACAGTTTAAGGCTCGACATTGTGTTGTCTACGATTAGACAGCTGATAACTCATTCCCGTACGTCGTAACTCTATAATGACCTTTGCTTATTGTCACATGTGCGCCGCATTCGCGATTGTTGCCGACGCCTGTTTGCAGGTCAGCCCACTACAGTTGTTATACATATCGAAAAACCGATAAACTTTTAGGCGAAAAAGGCACTATTCCAGGCCCATTTTTGATTTTCTTTGCGATATTAGGTAAAAACAGAAGCTTCTTATCCTAGGAAAAATAAAATGGGAAATCTTTCAAAGGTGGCACACTACCTTTAAGGCCATATATCGGCGGCTCTGAGGGCTCAACGCCGGAGCCTCTGACGGCCTAAGACGGGACCTTCGCATCGGACGGTCACTCACCGGTGACTTTTGAGGGCCCCACACCGACAACTCTGAGGGCCCCCACCGGCGTCTGAGAGTACCTTGCTGGTCTCTGAGGACTCCACAGGGCTCCTGAAGACACCGCAGACCTCTTGAGGGCCCCTTGTCGGTCTCTGAGGGCCCCTGTCGGTTTATAAAGGGTTCGAGCCAGCAGCTTTAAGGGTCCCACACCCGACTGTGATGACCCCACACTCCACTGTCTCTGAGGGCCCACAATGGCAACTGTGAGGACCTTCACCGGCGCCTCTGAGGGCCACACACTAGCACCTCAGAGGGCCCACAGTGGCACCTCTGGGGCCCCCACCAATGCCCCTGAGGGCCTCATACCGGTACCTACCTGTGAGGGCCCACACCAGTGCCTCCAAAGGCTTCATAACCGGCGGCCCTGAGGGCACTACACCGGTGATTTTTGGGGGCCAACCGAAGGCACAACACAATCCCTTAGTCTCGCTGAGTTTCCATCCCAATCCCATACCGGCTTCTATCCCAATTCCGGCTCAACTAATTAGCAGCCCCCCCCCCCCCATGGGTCAGCAGCGCCGCGCCGGTGTCGGTGCCGGGGGCCAGCACCATCGGGGCGGCAGTCGGCAACGCGCACTCAATGGTTAGCGCTTAGCACCGGCGGCTAGCGCACGCCCGGCGTGTTATCGGCCGTGAGCCGCTCCGAAACGGCTGCAGTAACTGGTCGATATAGGCAGTAAGCAGATGAGGAGATGCAGGTGGATTGATGACCGGCAAGCTCTTGTGTTTTACGAGGGCGAAGGGTCGAAGTCGGCTGCTAAGCCGTGAGCGGATTTTATCAGATGCCGGTTCATTAAGACCTGTATCCGGGTCCTGGTCCGCTGGCGCACTCTTGGAGAGCCGAATCACAGCAAAACTCCATCCGCGACTGTATCTATAGTCTATACGGCTTACGCTTTTCTGAAAACGTCTGCGTTTGGCCTTCTACGGGCCCGGCCGGCCGGACGGCCCCCGATTGGCGATCCACCAGTGACGTCACTGGTAGTGTTAAGCTGATTGGCGAATAATACATGGGGAGAACCGGGACGACATCCCCCTGAGTGATGCCACACCACGCGAAACACCGCCAACTATCAGCTGCCGCGCAATAAACACGTGCCAACAACAGTCTTTTTTTGAAGGTCGACTCCGCTCGCGCAACTTTTGACTGACCCTCACTGCTACCATATTGCTTCCATATTATACTGTGGAAAGCTTTACTTCACCAAGTGGCTAAAAACCTCCATCAAGGTATATTTTCTTAGCAATTTTTCTGACGTTTTGGGGGGGCCAAACAGGCCACTTTAGGCCTTTGGGGGGGGGGGGGGCATGGCCCCCGTGCCCCCCCCCCCCCTGGATCCTCCAGTGCATCGGCTTCCCCTCGTAACGGCCAGCACGCTCGTTTTTTGACGCGAAATGGCCTGTGCCGGCGATGGGTGAGTTTTTCTCAGGTAGCTCAAACACGGCCGTGAATTTTGGCTCGCCGTTTTCAGTTCCGCTCTGAACACCAATTTCGAGCAGCTCCTGACTGAACAAATTAGGTCCTAGCTCACATTAAAGGTAGTGTGCCACCTTCCAATGATTTACCATTTTATTTTTCTAGAATAAGAAGCTTCTGTTTCTACCTAATATCGCAAAAAAAAATCAAAAATGGGCCTGGAATAGTGCTTTTTTCGCCTAAAAGTTTATCGGTTTTTCGATATGTATAACAACTGTAGTGGGCTGACCTGCAAACAGGCGTCGGCAACAATCGCGAATGCGGCGCACATGTGACAATAAGCAAAGGTCATTTATAGAGTTACGACGTACGGGAATGAGTTATCAGCTGTTTCTTTAATTTGGCTGTCGAACATTAATTTATGGTTTGAAATATGATTTTATGTAAAATAATTGATATGAAACAGCCGTCTCTTAACACGCGCACCGACGGGGGGGGGCGGATATCCGCCCCCCCTGAGGTTTTTCGCGAATAGCGGGAAAACCGCGGCGCGTAGTGCCGCGAAATTTAGTACGACTATTCTCTCATCAATTTTACACATGGTGTGAAAGTTTGAACCTCCTAACTTTTAAGGTCAGGTCACCAGGTCACTTTGAATGACCCAACCTCAAGTCACTTTTTTGCAACTTTGTCACCGTGCCAGAGCTACAGTAGATGTCGGAGGCCTTTTAAAGTCGCAGGATGTTATAAGGTCATTAGTAGCTACAATTTGTATATCTCGGAATTTTAATATCGATGACCTAAGGTCAGGTCAATTTCTCGACCTCCCCATTATAAGTCAATGGGGGAAAAATCAACTCCCTGTTTTTACCACTAAAACGGGTCGGAATGGCCCCATAAACCATAAATGACCTCATATACGATCAACCTTCACTACTTTGAGGTCTGTTTTGCTGTTGGGCAGCTGTAAGGTCATGTGACGTCATCAAAGGTCACCAGCGGTTTTTTGACAATAACTCCGTACAGGAACAAGATACAGCCGCGCGGATGGTCTCATTGTGTTCAGCTCGTCAAGGCGCATCGAATGATATACACGATGACCTCGAGGTCACGTGACCTGAGGTCAAACTTTGACCTTGCCCTTTCGAGGTCAACATGCATATCATTCGATGCGGATTGACGAGAGGATCACGATGCTGCCCTTAGTTTGTTCCTATATTGACTAGTTCGAAAGTTATTCGAGAAAAACTCTCTCCATACCTAGCGCCGCCATTTTGACTTTTTTGACCCCTGTGACGTCATCTTTGACCTGACCTGAAAATGACCTTAGTAAAAATTGTAGACCTTGTCCGTGCGTATCCCTTGCCGTTTACCGCTTGTCGCTATCTTGCTTCGTTCTCGAGATCTCAGGGGGGGGGGCGGTCATCCGCCCCCCCCCCGTCGGTACGAAGTTGGCGCAGACCCCCGTCGGTGCGCGGGTTAAGTTGTGACCCCATCTCACCACACGAAAGTGGCAGAAATGACAATGATCAGCTGACGCATTTTTCTTGGCCGAAGTCAGAGCGCGCGGCCCGACGCACCATCACCGCACCACAAAGTATGAGCGGAAGCCACCTAACAGGCGTGTTCGAAACCGCAGGAGATGATGATGAACGGGTTTATCGAAACTTGATTGGATGAGCCTATTGGTAATAACGATTTCAGTGTGTGCATTTATTGTTCATAGTGGTGTAAAATGTGGTTGGGGTACGACCGACAACCCGTCGGGGCGAATTTCGCACTGGGGTACTCAAAATTTGAAGAATTTAAGACGTTTCCATGAGTTTTGAAGGTATGGATAAGTTCTAAATGCGGTTTTCCTTATCCGGGTCATTAACTCTATATGGTCCAGGAAAGCTGGCACACTACCTTTTAGTCATAATCTATAGACTTGGTGACCTCTAAGCCTTTGTTTCAGCCTCCTGCCAGTACGGGCGCACCTACCTGGACCAGTGCGATAACGTCTGTTTCTGTGACAAGTTTGGCGCATACCAGTGCCGGCCGCGTGGCACACCCGGCGGAGGGATCTGCCACCACGACGGCGTCACCGGAAAGCCCACGCGCTGCGAGCAGGAGGGCCTCATCCGCGTCGAGGCACACACACACTTCTTCTGCCAGGACGGCATAGTGCACTTCGAATACGGTTAGAACCCTAAAACGTACCATGTGTAAATTGTGTATTAAAATATTATGCATGCAATGCTGGTTGTGACCCTAGGGCATATAGAACATCGTTGTAACGGAATGTACCTATAAGAATTACGATATGTTGCACGTTATTTACCAATTATTATTATAACAGAACACATGTGTACCTACATATTATAGAGGTGCTACATATGTATTATACGGGATACTTGGATAGATTAGGAGACGGGAGGTGGGAGAGGCAGGACTGCCGTGCTCCGTTCCTAATTTATAGTACGGTAACGGCCGTGCTCTGTTTCCAGTGGAGGAGGACGGCTTCCGCTGCAAGGTGGGTGCTATCTGGCGGGACCGGTGTAACACGTGCAGGTGCAGCACACCCGAGGGGTCGCCCGCCTGTACGCTGGCGGGCTGCATATCCACCGGGATACGTGAGTACCTACATTCCATGGGCCACCCATGGGTCTGTTGGGCCCAAGGCCCTAACACGTATTGAAACATAGAAAGCAGATTCGGCCTATCCTATTTATCATCCCTTTGACCCCGTCTGACCTACCCTGCGCCCTGACCGGCGCCCCGCCCGCCACAGCGTCGCCGCGCGCGCCACGGCCGGCGCCTCTCGAGTTCGGAGACGTGGTGGTGCCCGACTACGAGCCGTGTCCCGCCGGCTTCGTCGCCGCCCCCGGCATGCTCGGCGTCAAAATCTGCAAGGCGGCCGGTGAGCTGAGGGAGGGGGGGGCGGCACGTGGTGGGTGATGAGCCGCCAGAGGAGAAAGGCGGACAGAGAGAGAGAATAGTTTAACCCGCGCACCGACGGGGAGGGGGCGGATATCCGCTCCCGTTGAGGTTTTTCGTAGATAGCGGGAAAACCGCGGCGCTAGCGCCGCGAAATTTAGTACGACTATTCTCTCATCAATTTTACACATGGTGTGCAAGTTTGAACCTCCTAACCTTAAAGGTCAGGTCACCAGGTCACTTTGAATGACCCAACCTCAAGTCACTTTTTTGCAACTTTGTCACCGTGCCAGAGCTACAGAAGATGTCGGAGGCCTTTGAAAGTCGCAGGATGTTGTAAGGTCATTAGTAGCTACAATTTGTATATCTCGGAATTTTCATATCAATGACCTAAGGTCAGGTCAATTTCTCGATCTCCCCATTATAAGTCAATGGGGGAAAATCAACTCCCTGTTTTTACCACTAAAACGGGTCGGAATGGCCCCATAGACCATACATGACTTCATATACGATCAACCTTCACTACCTTGAGGTCTGTTTTGCTGTTGGGCAGCTGTAAGGTCATGTGACGTCATCAAAGTTCACCAAAGGTTTTTTTACCAATAACTCCGTACAGGAACAAGATACAGCCGCGCAGATGGTCTCATTGTGCTCAGCTCGTCAAGGCGCATCGAATGATATACATGATGACCTCGAGGTCACGTGACCTGAGGTCAACATTTGACCTTGACCTTTCGAGGTCAACATATATATATATATATATATATATATATATATATATATATATATATATATATATATATATATCATTCGATGCGTATTGACGAGAGGATCACGATGATGCCCTTAGTTGTTTGTTCCTATCTTGAGTAGTTCGAAAGCTATTCGAGAAAAACTCTCTCCATATCTAGCGCCGCCATTTTGACTTTTTTGACCCCTGTGATGTCATCTTTGACCTGACCTGAAAATGACCTTAGTAAAATTGTAGATCTTGTCCGTGCGTATCCCATGCCGTTTACCGCTTGTCGCTATCTTGCTTCGTTCTCGAGATCTCAGGGGGGGGGGGCGATCATCCCCCCCGTCGGTACTAAGTTGGCGCAGACCCCCGTCGGTGCGCGGGTTAAGGAGATTGTGCCGTTCAGTAGACGATCACAAGATATAAAAATATGTCAGTAAAATATAGTTAAATAAAACGATCATAAAGATATAACGTCAGCTATATAAATACGAACATGTATTTTTTTGTTTATTAAAGCCGCTTAGGTTTGAGCAATGAACTATGAGGCCACGAGGTTCGGCGTTCTGCCAGTCTGACCACCAGCCTGCCCGGCTGACCCTACCGTCTGACCGGACCGTCAGGCTGCACGCCGGGCGTCGAGTGGAACCTCAGCTCGTGCGAAAAGTGCGTGTGTACTCGAACCGGCGAGCCTGCCTGCACGTCGTGCATCAGGACCAGGAGCGGTGAGAGTTCCGTGTGATTTGTCGATCTCTCCGTGCACTGTACCGTGTGTGTTTTTAACGCACTATTCGATTTCGCTACAAACTTTTTTCTCTTTCTTTTAGGTACAGATTTGTTTTTATCGCGGCATAGCGTGGCGTCAACGAAATGGGATTGTTCAGTTCACTGCCACGCATCTGTTGTCCTCCAGCCTTTCAGTGATCACTGTCGACTTCCCGTTCCAGTTGGTCGCTGCTCTTTACCCGGCCGTTCCGTAGGTATACATTGTTTGTTTCCCGTCTGTCCACTCGTTGTCTGTCTGTTCCCCGGCCGTTCAGTGGCTGTCTGTTCATTCTCCAGCCGTTCAGTGTCTGTCTGTTGGTTCCCCGGCCGTTCAGTGGCTGTCTGTTCGTTCCCCGGTCGTTCAGTGGCTGTCTGTTCGTTCCCCGGCCGTCCAGTGGCTGTCTGTTCGTTCCCCGGCCGTCCAGTGGCTGTCTGTTCGTTCCCCGGCCGTTCAGTGGCTGTCTGTTCGTTCCCCGGCCGTTCAGTGGCTGTCTGTTCGTTCCCCGGTCGTTCAGTGGCTGTCTGTTCGTTCCCCGATCGTTCAGTAGTTTTGTCCGCCGCCGCCGCTGCAGATTCGAATGTGATGTGCGACGATAAGCGGCCCACGCGCGGTGGAGAGTGCGGGGTCGACGACTGCGGCGAGCGATACAACCCCCAGCGCGACTGCCTCCAGTGCTTCTGTCTCGAGGGCAAGCCGGACGACGTTTCGGCCGGCTTCAACGAGCCGTGTCCGCCAGGCTTTGACCACCGCACCAGCTTCCTCTACTTCCGCAAGTGCGGCCCCATTGATGATCTGCGTGAGTTCAGGCCGCGGCTGGAAGCTCGGACAGGGTTCCGGGTCCGCCATTCAACGAATCTCGGAGCGAATTTTCGCAACAGTGATTTTTTATTTACCGTCACTTGTGTTAGTGTGTGGTGTACTGAAAGGCTCATTTGTGTCTACCAACCATGATATCATTGTGCCGAGCCAGAATTTCACTTTCAGCTTCATAGATATACATAGTTGGACGAAAAACATGTATCATGAGATGTATATGGGGCAATCTGTGACACATGATCTACTGGCAGGCTACTAACACTAGTATTTTTATATCATTCACTCACGCCGCGAGTATTTACGGTGCGGCCAAACGTGCGCTCGGATTAAGCTGCCGGCGCCTCTCACTGCCACCTCACCGACGTATTCCACTCATGCTGTGTCTGCTGCCGACCGTCGGCAGCCACTGGCGACTTTGTGGACTGCAGTCCAGGCAGCGGCTGCCCGGCGAAGTGCGAGTTCGTGCGCCGGTCGGATAACGGCTGCGTCTACTGCCTGTGTGAGGGGCGCGAGCTAGTGCCCGCTGCTGACCCGTGCCCGCCACCCAAAGTGGAGGGCAACATCCGCGACGGCAACAAGATCTGCAAGCCGGCCACCCGAGAAGGTAGGAGGAGAGACTGTCAGTCATCGGTACTCGGGAAGGTAGGCACTAAGCCGAGAGCCGTGTGTGACCCAGAGGTGACGTGTGCGCCCATATGTGACCTAGATGGAACTCTTCGCTCACCTCGTCTGCGACAGCCGAGGAGATAGGATGAAAGATTGTCACATGGCGCGGTCCGCGACAGCCCGGATGAAATAGATGCATAATTAATGGCTATCGTTATTTGTAATTCAACGAGGCTTACGTCACTGCATGCATATATGTATAATCATTAATAACCTAGGCATACTCTTATATTTTGTGGTTGAGAGAATACAAGACTCTTCATGCTACATATCCATTATCCAGGTGTTAGAGCCAAGAGTTTTTGTTTGATACCCAGCATGATACCCAGAACGTATCGTTGGAGTTGAACCGTTCACCACACTCGCTTGTCTGCCTTCCACAGAGTGCAGCGGTCCCGGCACCGAGTACCAGGTGGGCTGTGACCTCTGCGTCTGCCAGGAGGGCGGTGTGCCCGCCTGCACCCACAGACAGTGCGACACGACCCCAGGTGAGGCCGTCCCGGGAGCTTCTGGTCGGGAATTGGGGTGTTCGCCGACCTGCCGGGCTTCGGAGGGGTGCTGTCAGAGTTGTGAGGAGGTAGACTGACTCAATCACCAATCGAACCAGAAACGACCTGTCTGTCCAGTTCACCCAGAGGTGACATATGTGGCGTGTGTGACCCAGCGGTGACGTGTGCGCCCATATGTGACCTAGATGGAACCCTTCGCTCACCTCGCCCCCAGAGGAGCAGTCCTGCCAATACGGGACCTTCTTCGTAGACGAGTGTAACGCGGTGTGCCGCTGTGTCCGCGGACGGTACGCCTGCGGCCGGCGCGGCTGTCCGCCCGGTCGCACCTCGGGAAAGCCGCTCACCTGCCCGGCACAGACCCGCGAGCTGCCCAGGATCCGCGGACTGCGCGTCTTCTGTCACAAGGGCGTCGTCAAGGCCCAGCTTAAGGGTGAGAGGTCAGGAGGCAGCGGGGAATAGAGGAATTGTGAAGAATGAGAATGCAGTGAGGTAATGCAGCGGTTCAGTGGATCTTACGTTATAGTATCCAGTCTCCGGCCACGTTTCTTAAATGAAAGGTCTCATGCTTTCGCATCAACAATAGGGCATGGCTAAAATAATTCACCTTCCGGCGGAACGAGCTGTCAAGGAGGCATAAGTCTGTGAACATAAAGCTTATTCGACGCCTGAAATATTGCAAGTCGTTAAAATGGAAAACACCAATACTTCTGACTTGCAAATAAAGAATAAAGCGATTTCACTCTCAGCCATGCATTATAAAAAGACAAATATCCGGAATATCAGAAGCAAACATAACAAACATCCGGGTCACGGCACCAGATGTTTCCGTGATAATTGTCCTCGCGTTGTGCTTATCTTTACAACATTGATTACCCTGAGTTGTCTCTCACAACTGCTCTTGTAAATTGCGAAGTAAAAAGCAGCCCGAGTTATACTTTTAACGCATCAGTATAAATGGCGGCTTTAGTTCTTCTTTTCGCATTGAAGCACATTGATATGTAATGCTAATTATGACCGCTAACATTTTGATGTTGTTGTTTGTTGTTGTTGTTGCTGCTGCTGTTGCTGTTAATGTTGTTATTGTTGTTGTTGTTGTTGTTGTTTTTGTTGTTGTTGTTGTTGTTGCTCTCGGACCTGGGGTCTCCAACAATTTGTTCGGGACAAATTAGTTCCGGCAATCCTTGCGTCCATGAGAACTTTATTTGAGCTTGTCGAAGGGATAAGAGATCATCCCTAGCAAATAATATAAATGGTCCGTTGTCGGTATTAACAGATTTTTGGAATAATTTGGATATAATTAAATAAAAATATGCGAACACATACCTATCAATTGGACAATTGCTCCAGTTTCTGATGAGATATCGTTTCGTTCTTGTGGCTTTATCGTCCGACAGCTCAGCATGGTAGGGTGGCATTACAACTACTTTGAAACTCCCGTTCCAGTTATTGCTCAAGAGGGTTAGGTCGCAAATAATTCGACTGGCTATTGCTTCATGCGTTATAGCTACGATCTGGAATCTTGTAACGGCTATATGTAAAAACTTGGTAACGGTTTACCTCGAGATATTCTGAAACTGATCGGGCTTATCGAGTTAAGGTACCTATTTGTAAAATCAAACGGAAACTGGAAAGCACTCTTAGACTTAGGATAATTAAATGTGGTGTTGAGTTATTGCTAAGTAAACTGAGTTGCTGGGGACTTTTTAACGTCCCCACTTTTTCGCTGCGCTGTAGCTAAAAAATGGCACGCCAGCCACAGGCGCACCAAATTTTGGGCTACCTGTAGGAAATTCACTAAAGTTAGGTAATTGTGTCAAAATAAAAAAGAATCGATCGGATGTTTTCTTTTTGCGATATCTACCTACATATTGAGGGCTTAGTGATTTGTAAGTTCTGGACCAAAAACATCCTCGTATGATAAAATAGATGTCACAATTGAATTTCACGCCTAACAGTAGGTATCCATAAAACATATGTCATGCGCCACGAATGCCAGCATTGATTTTGGAAGATAGGTAGGTATTTCTGTTCTTGCCTGATTGGCCTGACCTTGACCCGACATATGCTTAACTGACCTCTGCATGAATCTGACATTCGTGTAGCACTTAGATAAGAGATTGTGCACAGTCTTGACAGAGTTTATGACGAGAGACGCCCAGTACGAGGTCCTTAAGTCCATGCTACTGAAAGCCCAATTTCAGGTGTTTGAACTGACCTTGACCCGACCTGTGACCTCAAAATTCAACTTTCAAGTACTCATTCGTCGCGTCTCGTCACTTTTTTTCGTTTGCAGCCTCGCGCGTTGCGCTGCGCATATTAGTTCTCGAGTTACCTATCGGGTTGGGGCGTTTAACCCGCGCATGACTGGGGTATTTTCCATAACGTGAGTGACCGGGGGGGGGGGCTCTCCAGAGCCCCCCCCCCCTCCTATCTCGAGATAGTTTCAGATCCGAAACTACATACTGGGCCGATCGTCAAAATTCAAACGGCGTCTGATAGCCCTGGAAAAACTGTCGAGCTAAACCTATTTTCATTGACCTAAAGGTCACTGATGACGTCACAGGTCAGGTCAAAGTAAAAATTATCGGCATTTTTGCTTGTTTACAATTTAGGCTATGGCCGCCGGCTGACAAGTCCGATCAGGCTCATTTTTTGGTTTACGCACCCCTTCCAATTTATGCCTTAGATACCTACTCTTAGGGTACCGAACTTCTACTTCGAATTTTTCAGGTCAAGACCAGGTCATCCTAGGTCACGAAAATTGTATATCATGTATCGGTCACGTGATGCATGTTTTACAGTCCATTTTACTCGTAGATTTTGAAAACTATGTCGTCTGTGTCATTTGAGGTCATTTTCAGCTGAATTTACCGGAGGTCAGGTCACTTTCAGGTCAGAAAAGATCAAAATTTGAAAATAAAATTTTTCAACAAAAAGTGTGCCTTTCAGATGCAGTTTGAGGTGAGGAACACGATGGTGCCATTTATAATGCTTTACGATATCAAAAACGTACTGAAAAATGGTTTTGAAAAATATATGATTGTAAAATTTTGACAATAATGCAAATAACTTGGCCATTTTTGAAGATATTGGGCTAAAACCTGTTAGAGTACCTAGTTCATGAGTGTGTGTTCTATTACATATATTCTGGTTTTTGAGAAATATGTAAAAATGAAAAAATCAAAAAATATAGGTAGGTATTTTTGTAATTGTAAAAACATATTTTTCAAAATTTTCAAACTTTTGAAAATTGGAGATTGCAGTTTGATAGCTACGTGTATTTGTAGTCCACTGATGCAAAGAAATTCGATCTAGCTTTAAAATTAAGCTCTTGATAGCGTTTGCCGTAATTCGATATTTTGCATCAAAATCGGCCGACATTACGTCACTCTGACGTCATTTCCGGCCAAACTGTGGTAGCTAGAAAGTTGAAATTTTAATACAAGGTGTCAAATTTATGCCGCTGAGGGTAGGTACCGCAAGTTTCGTGTTGATCCGTCAAACGCTTTAGAAGATATTGCCGAAAAGCCCGCCAGTCATGCGCGGGTTAACGCCCCTCCCCTCCCCGCCCCTCCCCAGGCGGGTGGCGAAATACCCCAGCAGCTGCCGGATATTATATCTATATATTACGATGCCCGTCATCGTCAAGCATATCTATGCCTATTGTGTCCTCGGAGAACCCTCCCATTCAGAGTCGCCTTTTCTCTGCCTGCAGACGAGCGCTGTATCGAAAATTCGCGGTTTATGGATGACGAGTACTGCAATTGGTGCGGGTGCCGCGGCGGCCGTCCGGTCTGCACCAAGATGGGATGCGTCTCCCGCCGGCCCCAGCTGCCCTGTACGTATGGCGACCGGGTGACCGCGGTGACGGGTGGTGACCTTTCTGCAGCATATTTACCAGTAGATATATACACATCGGCCGCCAGCCCAACTGCTGACCTTTAGGTACTGGTGACTGCAGATGCTGTTTTGAGGCACACATGCATATACGGGATTGGTTATACCGGGTGGCCCAGAAAAAACGTTCCCAATTTTAAATCAATATTTCTCAGAAAGCGATTAAGATACAACATTGAAACTTCCAATAGTCAATGCGGCATATATTTTCAGCAAATGGTATGATTTTTACGTTATTCGGTCGATTACTTTTTAAACGGTTCGTGTTTCTAGCATGCCATGTAAAAGTCACTTTTTTGCTCAGATGTTTACTAAAAATGTGAGTGAACGGGCCACTTACATCTCGGCACCACGGCCTGCAGCCATGACTGCTACTGGCAACTAGCCTCATTGATGGTTCAGGCCTCAGGGTGACACATTCCCTTTAGCTTTTTTTCCTTATTCGGTCGATTTACTATTTGATCTTCTTGAAGGGAGGGCGATCAGCAGTAGCCCATGCACCGTGCCGCTCCTTCTCTTCGAAACAGGACTTGTGTTGAAACGAATGACATCCATTAACGCAATTTTTGCTTAGCATGTGAATATTTGGCACATAAGTGGGACAAAAATATTTAAAATAACAGCACACTTGCTGGTATCATTCTCGTGTTCAATTTTTCTATTTTTTTTTCTAACATGGTACGTCTAAGCCAATCATTACTACCGTTCAACAACGGCAAAAAAAGCAAAAACGTCTTACTTAATTCAACATAAGATTGCTGGCTTGAAAATGATGGTACAGTGTTATAATTTGGCATACCAATGCGCAAAGAAGTGACGCAAACTTGATGAACATTTTGGCTCGTTATTTGCACTCGAATTTGAGATATAGGCCTCCAAAGTTCGGAACGTTTTTTTTGGGCCACCCGGTATAAGCATCATATAAGCGTTAGATATACCTAATTAGAAGATACGTGGTCCCAATAAGTAATCTTGGTCCCACTGGCCTCCACAATTCACAATAACTTGGCTTACCACATATCTCTGAAGGGTGTGACAAATAGCATGAAAAGTGGTTAATATAACTTGAGAATCCGAGCAGGAAATGTCAACTGAACAGCGGCCCAACTGTTGGAGATAGATGCTAAATAGGCTGCTCCCCATGTCTCCCCCCAGACGGCGACGAGCCGAACCGGCCCGGCCAGTGTCCGTGGACGATTGTGGACATCTATTACAGATGTAACTACAACAAACAGTGTGACGACGACCGACTCTGCCCGCCCGGCCACAAGTGCTGCAGGGAGCAGCTACCATGTGGCCAAAAGTGCCGGCCGGCCTGCGCGCCGGCCTGCGCGCCCGGCCAGCGCTGCCAGACGGTCTATCTGGACCTCGAGGAGGAGCGGGCCGAGTGTGTGCCGGTCAGCAACTGAACGGTGCAGCGGCGCGGCCGGTGCAGATCGGGTCTGAGGTCCGGCTAGCCGACTACAGATCGGGTCTCAGGTCCGGCTAGCCGACGACCGTAATCTGATATTTTCACTGCACTGTACTATACTGTCAAGCTAGCCGAAATGAGCGCGTTCGTGCTTGGATGCGCTCCTATGCGTTCAGCGTCAATAATTGTTGGTTTTAACTGCGCACGGGCTGCACAGTGCTGTACCTAGATCATATAATGCTATTGTGTTCCATCGGATGAAAGGGATTCCGGACTTGCAAAATGAATTGCTTTCTGAATCTCGAATCTGCAATACCGAAAATACATGCTTTGAGCGACATTTACCTATATTTGTATTTTGTATCACCCACTAGGCCGTAATCGCCACGCCATATGTGGAAGGCTTTTGATGTCAGTACATACCTACATACATACATAGGTACATACATACATATTACATACTGCATACATACATTGTATTTGTATTTCACTGAGGACCGCCAACAGGCACATAACCCAAGGATAGACGAACTCACATAAGGCAAAATTAAAGAACAAGATGCCACAGCTCACGGATGGCTGAGAAACCCCGATACGCACTTCCAAAAAGATGATCGAATTGTAAACAGGCCAGAGCTCGGCGTTATCGTTTTATCGTTTATGAACAAGCATCTGAAAGATGCTTATTGTCTGCTGAAAGGTGCGCCGGTATCCCAGCCAGCAATTTGGTTTGGTTCAAGTCCGCTTTGCCCCGGCAAATCCGACATGCCAGACTTGGGCCGGTGTAACTGGAACGCCGTCAGAGCCGGGGTTTGGGTCGATATGCAGCTTTATTCCGACTACATAGCCAGCCTTTGCCGTAGCGCTCCCGAGTTGGTATGGTTTCGGACCGCCAAGTCTGGCTCAAGTCCGTTCCGCCCTGTGATAGGCGGCGGAACGGGGGCCCGGACGCCAGTGAGTACGAAGGGCAGCGATCAACAGGCTTATATTGGCGACTGCCGACTACCGCTACGATTAAAGCGCTACAGCACCTAAATGCGGTTGGCTAGCGCCCGAGGGCGCCCTCCAACCACACCAACCACACTTACCTTTACCTGTAAACACATGCCTAATCACATTCGCGATTGAAGGAATCAGCAGAGCTTGAGGAAACCAGCAATAGCAAAAACAAGTCGATATCTAGTAATTTGTCAAACCCTGATAATCCCTTTAACAAGATGCCTTTACTACTCTTTTAACGGAAGGAAAGTATTTTCCTCCATCGAGAGAAATACTTTGTGATAAATGACGTCATGCTTCCAAATATTAATATAGAGCCCTGCGAAAGTCAAACGTTGAAGCGCGGCAAAATAAGCGTAAACAAGTTTTGTCAGTTTGTTTGGGACGACGGTTGTGATGTATGTGCCGGAAACTGGCTCTTTATTACTTTTCAGGGATTATCATTGAAGTACCAAATTCAGGTGAGTTAGTGTTGTCCATGGTGGGTATCCTCTGAATCTCTCGCTCTACCTTCATTTGTTCTCGCATGCCAATCAGCAGATATCATTGTTGAAATGCGCGGATGTGGCTGTACTGCCCGGCGACGGGCGACTGGCAGTCCGACAATTGATTATTTTATCATTATTGTCGTACATAATCGGTAACGTGTGTAGATAATTAATGTGCAATGTCGATATTGTACAAGAAGTCAAATGTGATATCACCTGTGTTCATCCTTGATAACACAAGCAAGGCGGTAAATGTCAAGTCAAAGTCCTAAGAAGAGCTCAACGATATTTTTTTCATACTATTTCATAATTTGATATCCTTAATCCAGAAATAATGCTACATGTCTCACCAACAAAAAACAATTAACCAAAGCACCAATTCCTCACTTCCTCACAAAATGTCACACATAAAACATGTCATGATGTGCGGAAAACCATCGCTGTTGCAGTGCTTGCTTTATGAAAAATATGAAAAATCGAAATGAAATGAATAAATAGTATTAAGAATATGCAACAAAATAACATATTTGAATAATACAAAATTAAGGTAAACATATTTTTACATTCTACAAACAAAAATATATTTTAAAGCATTATTTGATGTCTGTTCCCATGGTGATTCCAAAGTGACGTCATATAAAATATGAAGTGAGGGAAAAGAACATGAGCCTAACCTGATCATTCTGACCTAACCTGTCAGGTTAGGTGAGAACCTAACCTGACCTAACCTACCCTAACCTGTGATGTTTGCCTACTGGGGATAAGGAAATAGTTGCTTGCATGAATAGATAACAAGTCAGACTGGAAAACATCCATACACTACGCCGGAGGCCCGTGAGACCATCTTGTGCTGAAATTCGGCGCAAGCGATTTTGCGCCGAAATTTCTGAGTGATTTGCGCCGAAAATTAGGTGCCTATTTTTGCGAAAATTAAGCCCTTTTAATATAAAGCACATGTGCACATATACTGATCAAGGCTATATCAACCAGGCAGAGTGTTTCGGGGCTTTGTACGCTATACCATGTTTGAGCGTCCAAATTAGTTTTTATTTCCACATAAACCCAATACCTCGGCGGGAGCCAGCGAGGGCCCGGCAGCGAAGCAGCACGTGCTCCGGCACATCAGCCTCTTCTCGGCTCACGGTGCAGAGCGCCGCTGGGCACCGCTTGTCTGGGCACTGCTGGCACGCGGCGGAGTGGAGACAGCCGATTCGGTGCCGTATTGGAGCGAGCGGCCCCGGTGGCCCGCCCTCATCTGGTGCACCGAAATGGCATCCTCTCGATCCTCTCCGGGGAGAGGGAGCGGCGGCGTGCTCCCGAGGAGTGGCTTGAATAGTGATTCTGAGCAGTTGTCGCGCCACTGATGCGAGGCCGCACAATGAACCGCCCTGGTCAGCGATCGGGCGTTTGAGGGCAGGGCGGCCGCCAGTTTTGCCAGATCGTCCACGCTCTCATTCCCCTCGATACTGCAGTGGGCAGGAACCCACTGCTATTGCCTAACGACGCTTGGCGACGTTCAACAAGGTTTTCCATGCCTATCTCTACGCCGAAGGTTGAGGCCTCACCTGGGCTGCCGTTCCTCCGCTGAGTAGACTCAGGGCGGCTCGCAAGTTCGAGCACGCGACGACCGGGGCGGGGACGTCTCGTCCCGCAACCTCTCCAGAGCTGCCCACGGGGCGAATCTGCTGCTAGATTGACCAGCGTACCGCATAAATTCGGTGACTGTCTTTCGCCAAAAAATTATGCGACCGCCCTGCACCGAAAAATTCGTCCGCCGCCATGCGCTGAATTCGGCGCATGCGAAGTTACGCCGGACGTGCGCTTAAATTTTCGGCGTAATTCCGTCACTACGCCGGACATATTCGGCATAACGTGTATTTTTTCCAGTCTGGATAACAAGCAATAGGTAGCAAATCAAATATTTTTAGGTTAAGTGGTTATGCATCAGGCTTCAGGCCAAAGGCCTGAAGCCCGATGAATATCCACTTACATTGGGGATTTGAGTTTGACAAGCAGTTTCTTAGAAGAAGATGCACTCTAAAGGCAATATTAGTTTATGAATTGCAATCATGCACAATTATAAAAGGAGTGGCAATAATAACAATTTCTTTCTAAATTTTAAAGCCATTATTTTATTGGTTGCCTTAAGCTGTGATATGAATGTGAAAGGTGCTTTGTTCAACCACTGGAATCAAATTATAATAGGGACATCTCACTTTGAAATTCCTGGAGTTTAGTTGCATCCCTGGGGTGTTTGAAGTGACCACCCCACCTTAACATCAGTTTTGAGTTGAGATAGCCAAATTGGGGTCCCGGGCTTGCACTTACCAGTTACTGGTTAGGGCACTCCCAACATCAATAATTGCTTTGATTCAGATATATTTAATTTCAAACTTGCAGTTTTCACATTCTAAGGGGATAATGCATTTGAATGCCCCCTTAGAATTTGTGATGTCGGTGGAGATCTATTGATTTTTAAATATAATACTAAAACCATCATTAAAACGTGGTGGTATATATGTACTGCTTTCACGCAACATCTGGCCGCACCTTTACGATGCCAAGTTATTGTTTCCAAATGACGTCTCTCAATTCAAGGTAAATTTTTATCTATGTGTATTGTGTAACTGAGTCAATCTGACCCTCACCCACTATCAAATTCCTCGGAGTGACCATCGACCAGTGTCTGACATGGGATATCAACATGAGCCAAATAGAAGGTACAATGCTCTTCTGATATCTCTTTCCAAGTTTCACCACCACTTCAACCTGGAAGCAATTAAATTACTTATCGACACGCACGTTTTCCCCCACATCCCCTATTGCGTTTCGGTATGGGGCGGAACCAACCAGAACACATGTTTGTGTAAACTTGTGTCACCCTTTTAACTCTCGTAACGTTCTAGTTTATCATAGTGTGTGCGGTGTATTTTTTTGTAGTCTTTCATCCATTGTATTTCACCATTAAATGTTGTATTTTATCCCGACTCGCTCATGATCAGTTGCTGTCGTCTTATTTTTATTCCTGCCCTGCCGTTCTTCTTACACTGTATAAGACGCTAGTCCTGAAAACCATGTTCTGTGGATGGATACATACTGCATACATAAATACATACATACATTGTTGGAACAGCGGAGGCCCCAAAAGTAAATAAAAGTAAAAGTCTAATATCTTCAAAACCAGTGAATATTTTTCCATGAAATTTGGTAAGTATTCATTTTTGATCCTTTTAAACCACGGAACATCAATGTTATGCCAATTCATCAACTTTTTTGTAGATGGGATTGGGAGGGCTCCTTTTAAGTGGATTTGCCTTTTCAAGTTGATTATGATTTTGGCTCGTAACTATAAACTAAGGCTGCTTTTGGTCCATCCCCAGATCAAGTAAGTATAATACCGGTATAGTTAGTTATCTGGTAAGCAAAAAGTTGCCAACAACCGTCGTCCGTCGGGCGTCGGCAGCAATGAACTTCATGTTCCCATTTCTTCCGCGCGGTGGCGCTGCTGTCAGTCGCTGTGGTGTGTCTTGGGAAAGACAAGGCAACTCAGGGTATATTGGTGCAACTCGACAGGTTTAACCCTCGCCCGCACATGGGGGGGGGGGGGTTGCCACCCCCCCCCAGGTAGTCTTTCTGCTCTGCACTCAACATTTTTAGAGCTAGAAGCCTGATTTTTCGTATAGCTGCTCCTCTATCCTTTCTTGATGTCCACTGAAAATTTCAAGTTTCTGTGATTTTTGGTTTCGGAGATATGCCCTTGTTTTTCAGGTCATGTCATGACCCAAATGGCCAATTCTCAACATCTTGCGTTTGCCATGGGCCTTGTGAGCTTTTGACACCCTGATTTCGGCCTTTTTTGCCAGTCTTACCTCCCACCTATCATGGAACATGTTGTTCGACGATGTACAGGGGTCAAGGTCAGGGTCAAGGTCAACCTAGGTCATCTAAGATAATTGCGTTTTAGGCAAGCTGAATTTACTTTTTGTGAAGTTTTTTGACTGCATTTTTGATAAAAGCTTCTCAGATCATGATTTCATGTAATATGGACCCAAAAACAATCGGTGCACACATCAGTATACACACAGACACACACAGACATACAAACACATATAATTGACCTTGACCTAACTTGACCTGAAATGACCTCAGCAGCAAAATTCTGGTCGGGTAGTGTGACAAAGAGGTTCTAGCTGGCTTGGCACCAGAAAACAGCATCGTCATCGGTATTTGATAAGCAGCGCACTTGATATCCAACGGTGACCCAAAACACTAAAACAGCAACATTTTTTAGTTTGACCTGACCTGAAAGGTCAATGACTGACCTGAGAAGGTAAAACTGGGTATCATTGGATTCGTCTCTTCCCAAAGAATCTTTTTGGTCTTTACCGCTAAGCTCTATCTCCAACAGGAACGAAATGGCGCGGGGGGGGGGGTGGCAACCACCCCCCCCCATGTGCGTTCTAGGATGGGAAAATGGCATGTGCGGGCGAGGGTTAATATGGCATGAATCTGGAGGACTTTTATCTGCATTGGTTAGTTTCCCGATTTTCCTTCTGTCTGTGTAGTGCGGAGTGTGTTTTATCGCTGCGTTCCACTAAGTCAAAACCTTCTTAAGGCATAGTATTAGAGTAAGTATTTCTTCTTACAGCTTTACCTATTGTGTACCTACTTTCCTACTGCCTTCTAAACCAACGCAGTAGCTAGCCGTCCAGTTCCCCTCGTTCTCCTACTTGGGAGAACTGGACTTGGGAGTCTGGATTTGGGAGTCCCAAGTCCACCTTATTTGAACATTTGACTGTTTTTTTTGCGCACCTAGTCGCGATCCTTCGGCCGTCAGTGTTATTCTGCTGAGTGCTGTGCAGAAACTACCATAGCACAGTACCACATCGTTTATTTACACAAGACACTAACTATTTACATATGTAACACAACATCATTAAATAACACTCAGCCTAGCAGGCCCCGTGCGCCCT